CACAGTAACCGAGGACTTTAGAAGTGGAGACAGTGGGTGAGGGAACTAGCATAGTCCAGGGAGCTATAGAAATGCTGTTTCACGGTGTGTAAGGAAATCAGTTTTTCAAATTAAAAGCCATATATTAGAAAAGGGGATCAGGGCCAGGCGCCGTGGCTCAGCCTGTAATTCCAGCACTTTGGAGGGCCAAGGTGGGAAGATCCCTTGAGGCCAGGAATTCAAGACTAGCTTGGGCAACATAGCAAGACCCCATCTCTAAAAAAAAGAAAAAGAAAAAGAGGCCAGGTGCGGTGGCTCACACCTGTAATTCCAGCACTTTGGGAGGCTGAGGCAGGCGGATCACCTGAGGTCAGGAGTTAGAGACCAGCCTGACCAACATGGTGAAACCCCATCTCTACTAAAAATACAAAAATTAGCTGGGCGTGGTGGCACGCGCCTGTAATCCCAACTACTCAGGAGGCTGAGGCAGGAGAATCACTTGAACCCAGGAGGCAGAGGTTGCAGTGAACTGAGGTCATGCCACTGCACTCCAGCCTGGGCAACAGAGCGAGACTCTGCCTCAAAAAAAAAAAAATACATACATACATAAAATAAAATTTAAATTTAAATTTATAAAATTTAAATTTTACTTTTAAAAATTTAAAAGAAAAAGAATTAGCCAGTATGGTGGTGTCCCAGCTACTTGGGAGGCTGAGGCAAGAGGATTGCTTGAGCCCAGGAGATCAAGGTTGTAGTGAGCTGTGATCGTGCCACTGCTCTCCAACCTGTGTGACAGAGCGAGGCCCTGTTTCTAAAAAAATTAAAATAGGAGGTGGAGAAAAATAAAGAAAAATAAAGAAAAGGAGATGAAAAGCTAATTAATTCAACAACACTTTTTGAAGACCTACCTCATGTCTGATTTTTAAAAATTGCTTCATTTGGCCAGGTGCAGTGGATCATGCCTCTAATCCCAGCACTTTAGGAGGCCAAAACAGGAGGATCACTTGAATCAGGAGTTTGAGACCAGCCTGAAGAACATAGTGAGACCCACATCTGTACAAAAAATAAAATTAAGCGGGCATCGTGGCATGTGCCGATAGTCCCAGCTGCTCAGGAGGCTGAGGTGGAAGGATTGCTTGAGCCTGGCAGGTTCAGGTTGCAGTAATCCAAGATCCCGTCACTGCACTCAGGCCTGGGCAACAAGCAAGACACTTTCTTTTTTTGTTTGTTTTGTGTTTTTTTTAGATGAATTTCACCCTGTCACCCAGGCAGTGGCGTGATCTCGGCTCACTGCAAACTCTGCCTCCCGGTTTCAGGCAATTCTTCTGCCTCAGCTTCCTGAGTAGCTGGGATTACAGGCACGTGCCACCACACCCAGCTAATTTTTTATATTTTTGGTAAAGATGGGGTTTCACCATGTTGACCAGCTGGTCTCAGACTCCTGACCTCAAGTGATCCACCTGCCTTGGCCTCCCAAAGTACTGAGATTACGGGCATGAGCCACCACACCTGGCCACAGAGCAAGACACTTTCTCAAAAAAAAATTGCTTTATTTTTCTCAGCCCACTAATAACTTGAACATTGAAGTAACAATCTCAATGAAAGATTCTTAAATTCTTTATTGCCAGCCTCAGTTTAGTCTACTCTAGATTCATTTGTGAAGAATGAAATTATTTGTATCCACTTTAATTTGGCACCTTACATGGCAGGGGTTTGGAGATTCTGTGCTTTAGCAGCCAAAATGTCACAGGCCTTGTTATTAATAGTTTCTGGTGGCATGGGATAGAGGAAAAAGACAGGTGGACTTAGAAACATTAGCTTGGCCGGGCACTGTGACTCACATCTGTAATCCCAGCACTTTGGGAGGCCAAGGCAGGCAGATCACTTGAGTCCATGTGTTTGAGACCAGCCTGGGTAACATGGCAGAACCCTATCTCTACAAAAAATACAAAAAATTAGCCAGGTGTGATGGCCTGTGCCTGTAATACCAGCTACTCGGGAGGCTGAGGCAGGAGGATTACTTGAGCCCAGGAAGCGGAGGTTGCAATGACCCAAGATCATGCCACTGCACTCCAGTCTGGGCAACACAGTAAGACTCTGTCTTGAAAATAAATAAATAGGCCAGGCGAGGTGGCTCATGCCTGTAATCCCAGCACTTTGGGAGGCTGAGGTGGGTGGATCACCTGAGGTCAGGAGTTCGAGACTAGCCTGGCCAACATGGTGAAACCCCGTCTCTACTAAAAATACAAAAATTAGCCGGACATGGTGGTGCGTGCCTGTAATCCCAGCTACTCAGGAGGCGGAGGCAGAATTGCTTTGAACCCAGCAGGCAGAGGTTGCAGTGAGCCGAAGTCGTGCCATTGCACTCCAGCCTGGGCAACAAGAGTGAAACTCTGTCTCAAAAATAAATAAATAAATAAATAATAATTAAGTGGCCGGGCGCAGTGGCTCATGCCTGTAATCCCAGCACTTTGGGAGGCCGAGGCAGGTGGATCACCAGGTTAGGAGTTCGAGACCAGCCTGGCCAACATGGTGAAACTCTGTCTCTACTGAAAATATAAAAATTAGCCAGGCATGGTGGCGGGCGCCTGTACTCCCAGCTACTCAGGAGGCTGAGGCAGGAGAATCGCTTGAACCTGGGAGGCGGAGGTTTCAGTGAGCCAAGATCGCGCCACTGCACTCCAGTCTGGGCAACAGAACGAGACTCCGTCTCAAAAATAAATAAATAAATAAGTGATTTTTAAATGGATAGGACGGAAGTGAAGAAATACCCATCCTCTTGTCTAGTCTAGGGAGTAACACATTTAAGAAAATGGACAGATGTTTAACTCTAGAGACATTAAAGAGTGCTAACATCTCTCCTTAGGCATATAATTAGAAGCCAGTGCTTGCGTTGTAGTTTTTAAGTCCTATTGAATACTAGATAACAATGGATATTTCTTTTTCAAGACTACCTGTCAGGAGATCTGAGGTTACCCTTTGATTTGTTGTTGTTATTGTGGTTGTTTTGAGACTGAGTCTCACTTTGTTGCCCAGACTGGAGTGCAGCGACGTGATCTCGACTTATTGCAACCTCTGCCTCCCGGGTTCAAGCGATTCTTCTGCCTCAGCCTCCCCAGTAACTGGGAGTACAAGTGTGCGCCACCACAGCCAGCTAATTTTTATATTTTTAGTAGAGATGGGGTTTCACCAGGGTGGCCAGGCTGGTCTCAAACTCCTGACCCGTGATCTGCCTGCCTCAGCCTCCCAAAGTGCTGGGATTACAGATGTGAGCCACCATGCCTGGCCGGTTTTTTTTTTTTTTTTTTTTTTAGAGACAGGGCCTCACCCTGTCACCCAGGTCGGAGTGCAGTGGTGTGGTATCTCAGCTCACTGCAGCGTTGACCTCCCCAGGCTCAGGTGATCCTCCCACCTCAGCCTCCCAAATAGCTGGGACTACGGGTGTGCACCACCATGCCCAGCTAATTTTTGTGTTTTTAGTAGCAACAGGGTTTCCTTGTGTTGCCCAGGCTGGCCTCGAACTCCTAAACTCAAGCAATCCACCCACCTCAGCCTCCCAAGGTGCTGGGATTACAGGCATGAGCCACTGCTTCTGGCCTACTCTTGGATTTTATGTTGCAAAATATTACCTACGGCTGGGCACGGTGGTTCACGCCTGTTATCCCAGCACTTTGGGAGGCCAAGGCAGGCAGATCAGGAGGTCAGGAGATCCAGAGCATCCTGGCCAACATGGTGAAACCCAGGCTGTATTAAAAATACAAAAATTAGCAGGACGTGGTGGCATATGCCTGTAATCCTAGCTACTCCGGAGGCTGAGGCAGGAGAATCACTTGAACGGGGGAGTCAGAGGTTGTAGTGAGCCGGGATCGTGCCACTGCACTCCAGCCTGGTGACAGAGAGAGATTCCATCTCAAAAAAAAAAAAAAAAAAAAAAAAAAAATTACCTACGTTAGCCACACATGGTGGCGCTTGCCTGTAATCTCAGCTACTCTGTGGCTGAGACACGAGAACCACTTGAGCCCGGGAGGCAGAGGTTGCGGTGAGCCGAGATTGCACCACTGCACTCCAGCCTGGGTCGAGACTCTTTTTTTTTTTTTTTTTTTTGAGATGAAGTCTCGCTCAGTTGCCCAGGCTGGAGGCCCCAGCGCGATCTTGGCTCACTGCAAACCCTGCCTCCCAGGTTCACGCCATTCTCCTGCCTCAGCCTCCCAAGTAGCTGGGACTACAGGCGCCTGCCAACACACCCGGCTAATTATTTTGTATTTTTTTTTTAGTAGAGACGGTGTTTCACCGTGTTAGCCAGGATGGTCTGGATATCCTGACCTTGTAATCCGCCTGCCTCGGCCTCCCAAAGTGCTGGGATTACAGCTGTGAGCCACCACGCCTGGCCTGAGACTCTAAAAAATAAAAAAATTACCTACAGTTTCTTAACAGAATTACTGAATCATAACGCTACAAAAGTCCTTAGAGTCATCTGTGTTTCTCAGCTTGATGATGCAATAATAACTAAGAGTTTTCAAAAATATGTCACCTGGGCCTCCCTACAGACCAATTGTATCAGAGTCTCCAGGTGGGACCTGGGCGGCTGCAGCTAGTTAAATCTCTCCAGGTGATTCCTATGTTCCATGAGAGCAGAACCCCTGACACCCAACCTCCAGTTTAAAGAAGAGGAACTAACCCAGGGCCCAGATAATGACTGTCCAGGAGCATGCACTAGTAGCTCCCAGGGGTGGGGCCCATGTCCCCTGCCCCCAGGTCAGCACGCTTTGACTAAGACCACAAAGTCTCACCCAGATTCCAGATAGGAGAGAATGGTGACTTAGTTCCATTCCAGAGTGCTTTTGCTTTGGTTTACTCCCAGCAGCAAATGGGCCGGGCTGGGGATGGAAGCCAAACACATAGGGTGTGTCTCCCGATACCTCTCTTCAATCTCAGGGAGACACAGTCAGGACTGCAATATCTTATCAGTGCCTGGATGGGGTGGGGACTGCTAGGTAGGGGAGGAGAGATGTGGACTCACTGCCTCCTGTATCCCCAGCCTCCTCAGCACCTAGAAACAGCTTACGCTGCCTTATAAGGCTCAAATGCTGCTGCCAGGGAGCTGTGGGGCCCAGGCCTTGAATTTTTGGTGCACCAGTGCTTGACAGGCTCCCCTTATCTCTGCTTGCACCGCTGGGCCTAGGGGTTTTTCTATTGTTTTTCTAAAGGCATGCCAAGGCCAGGACAATGCTAATTTAAGTTCCTCCTGGCTCCATTTGTTTTTGTGTTTTTTAATTACAGCGGGGTCTCACTATGTTGACCAGGCTGGAATGCAGTGCCTGGAATGCTGTGCCCTACAACAGGCTCAATTCTCTCTCTCTTTTTTTTTTTTTTTGTCAGAGATGGGATCAGCCAAGAACAGACTCAATTCTTGACCCTCTTAGTTTTCTGAGACTGCATCCACTTTGGTAGTTTCTACTGAGTCCAAATTAGAACATCCCAGCTGGTGGACTGTCTCCCAGGAAGCCCTCGGAGAGGAGCGGTGCATAGGGGGGCACCTGGACACCCCGCCCCCCGCCCCGAGTCGTGTCAGGCAGCCTTGTCTATTTACATCCTTTCACCCTTTCTCGGGAAGCTATCAGACGATGTGCTCCCCCAGATGAAGAAGTAGTCCCAGGAAAAAGGAGACATGGGATACTGGGATCCTGAACCCGGGGGAGGACAAGGGAGTTCCTGGGAGGACAGCTGTGCTACCGCCTAGCAATAGCGAGCAGCCAGTCCAAACTGCAGCTGTGACTCAGAAGACAGACATGTGGAGGGTTGTGATCACAGAGTAACGATGGTCCTTGTACATGGAGATAAAAATGCTCAGGTGTGCCCAGGTTAAAGAAGATGAAAGGCCCTGCTTCCCAGAGCGCCCGGGGGCACTGATGATCTCTTCCAGGTCTGTTTCCACCCACTGCAGCCGTGGTGAATCTAGAGGCAGAAAATCCAGAGCAGCCCATGCCCTTTGCCCATGTTTCTGCTGGTCAGCCAGCACCTCACTGACACTACGCCCTGTGACACAATCCCAGAGGGACTCTGGAGAACTCGAGGGGACGTGGAAGCCAGCCTCTGCCCGGAAGCTCCACTCAGGTCATCTTCAGGGAGCTTGCAAGCCGTGGGAGCATCGTTGCCCTCCTCCTACAAAGCTAGGTCTGTGCTTACTGCTCAGTTTTTTTCCAACTAAACAATGTTTTTGAGAGATTCACAGAGAGATAAAAACAATTAAGAATAAATGCCAGGGGGTGGTTAACACAAAGGTCTGGATATTGGTTACTTCTGGAGAGGAAAGGGGACGGAATGGCAGAGTGCTCAGGGGTCTCTGGAGGTGCTTGTGTCTCCAGTGTAGTCACATGAGGTTCACTTTATTCTTTGCACATACATTTTTTTTTTTTTTTTTCCTGAGACGTAGTCTCACTCTGTCACCCGGGCAGGAGTGCAGTGGCGCAATCTCAGCTCACTGCAACCTCCACCTCCCATGTTCAGGCAATTCTCCTGCCTCAGTCTCCTGAGTAGCTGGGACTACAGACATGTGCCACCACGCCCAGCTAATTTTTGTGTTTTTAGTACAGATGGGGTTTCACCATATTGGCCAGGCTGGTCTCGAACTCCTGACCTCAGGTGATCCGCCTGCCTCAGCCTCCCAAAGTGCTGGGATTACAGGTGTGAGCCACTGTGCCCGGCCTGTATATACACATTCTAAACCCCGTTATCTATAAAATATTTTGAAATAAGCACTTTTAATGAATTAAGGATTGTTTTGGAAAAGAAAGAAAAAACTTTTTTTTTTGTGAGATGGAGTCTCGCTCTGTCACCCAGGCTGAAGTGCAGTGGCGCAATCTCAGCTTACTGCAAGCTCCACCTCCTGGGTTCACACCATTCTCCTGCCTCAGCCTCCCCTGTAGCTAGGACTACAGGTGCCTGCCACCATGCCCAGCTAAATTTTTTTTTTTTTTTTTTTGTATTTTTAGTAGAGACGGTTTCACCGTGTTAGCTAGGATGATCTCGATCTCCTGACCTCATGATCCGCCCGTCTTTGCCTCCCAAAGTGCTGGGATTACAGGCGTGAGCCACTGCACCCGGCCAAGAAAAAAACTTTCTACTGAAATAATTGGCTGAGATAGAAGTAATTATGTCTTAAATGATCTAGATAATTTTATGACTGACTGAAGCCTCAGCATCAGAAGCAAGGTCTGTACATTTCCTGCCAACCTTGACTCACTGAGCAAATGAATTTACCTTCAACAATATGTACAGTCCAGACGTGCCTTTGTGCCTGTCTCATTCTCAATATGAAATAATGTTTTGAGAATTGTTTGAGGTAAAAACAACAAATGATCTCTTTTGTCCACATACTTTTCACCATTCCTTCCTTGGCAGCCAAGTCAGATCAGCTGGCTCTTTGGTGACTTGGCACATTAAAATTAAAATTTGCTCCAGTGGACCTCACAGTGGTTTTTTTTTTTTTTTTTTTTTTTTTTTTTTTTTTACCAGCACAGTAGCTGGAGAAGGGCATTTTGAAGTCAGGAGGTAATGCTGATTGGCCTGGGCAGGGAACACTGTGTGATTAAGCAGCGAAGGGGATACGGGACAAATTCCAGGAACCCTGCTTATCTCTGCTGGAATTACTGTACTGCAGGTCTCAAATCCTGAAGGATCCTGTATTTGTTTTCACCTGGAACCTGGACCACATTCAGGTGGCAGATTAAAATGAAGCCAAATTCATTTCAGGCCATCCTAATGATTTTTTAATTAGCATCAGTGCATAGTGTAGGAATTTGCAGTTCATAGTCCACTTGTAAGTTGAAATTAGAAACTGCAAGGACAGTAATATAAGTGGGAGGAGAGATTACATTAATCCCTTCAACAAATATTTGTTGGCTAGTAGCTGTGCTAGTGGGTAATAATAATACAGCTAAGAGCCAAACCAAAGTTCCTCCCCTAGAGGCCTTTCTTTCCAGTGGGAAGAGGGTAGAGGGTACAGTCAATAAATCCAAATATATATATTTATGTGTACACACACACACATATATACACAAAACAAGTGGTATGTGCTGTGAAGAAAAAGTAGGGTAAGGCTCTGGAGAGGGCCAAGGGTGTGCGTGAGTGGGATGGTTATTGTATGGAGATTGGCCAAGGAAGGCCTCTGGTAAGATGATCTCTGAAGGAAGTGGGATTAAGTGGTCCAGCTTTTGGGAGGATGATTGTGCTGGGCAGAGGGAAGAGCAGGGGCTATGTCTCTGCATTCCACGGTTACAAATAGAGGGTAACATTCGCCGTCCACCCCTCAATGCCTCTTTACTGTGACCTTTAGGAGATGCAGAACTTCAGTGTCCATCAGTCAGAGGCAATGCCCCTGACCCACACGCCTCTAGTTGAGAGATAGACAGAGTTGGAATTACAGGACCACAGACCTGACCTGGAACAAGACTTGCAAGTATGTCAGGGAGCTGCACACTAACCTAGCAAGAGACTGGCCAGGTACCATTTTCTGTATGGTTATGATGAAGCAGCTGGTACAAATGTTAGGGGACAGTTGCACATGGTGTGGGAAAAGCCCAGCACTTGGCCTCTGGTCTGGCTTTTCTACCTTTGGACCTTTTACTGTTGTCTGTGGGTCCTGGGGTCTGTGATTGGACAAATGAAGGTAGGTAAGCTGGGAAGGACAGGACAAGGAACACAGTAAGATCTCCTTTGGCCAGGCATGGGTGACTCAAGGCTGTAATCCCAGCACTCATAATTACTTACAAAAGCATTCATTCATAACTTACAAAAGCGTTCATAATGGTGGCCTTTGAGAGCTGGGATTATGGACGACTTATATACCTTTTTGCTACCTTTATGTGAATTTCTACAAATTACTTTTTTTTTCCTTTTTGAGACAGAGTCTGGCTCTGTCGACCAGGCTGGAGTACGGGGCACAATCTCAGTTCACTGAACCCTCCCGGGTTCAAGCAATCCTCCTGCCTCAGCCTCCCGAGTAACTGGGACAACAGGCATGCTCTACCACACCTGGCTAATTTTTGTATTTTTAGTAGAGATGGGGTTTCGCTACGTTGGCCAGGCTCGTCTCGAACTCTTGACTCCAAGTGATCCACCTGCCTCGGCCTCCCAAAGTGCTGGGATAACAGGCATGAGCCACTGGACCTGGCCTACAAATTACTTTAGCAACAGAGAAAGAAAGTGAGCAAAGTTATGCACAAGTGTATTAACAAATTGCTCTCCTGTACCTAAATCAGTCATTCCTTTTTTTGAGACACAGCTTCACTCTTGTTGCCCAGGCTGGAGTGCAATGGCACGATCTCTGCGCACCACAACTTCTCCCTCCTGGGTTCAAGTGATTCTCCTGCCATGCTTGACTAATTTTGTATTTTTGGTAGAGACAGGGTTTCTCCATGTTGGTCAGGCTGGTCTTGAACTCCCAACCTCAGGTGATGCACCCGCCTCAGCCTCCCAAAGTGCTGGGATTACAGGCGCGAGCCACTGCACCCAGCCACTAAATCAGTCATTCTATCCAGTTCCTTGCATTTACTCCTTTCTTGTGCTAACCCACAGCCAGTACTTAAGAGTATTTAAGTCCTCTCTCCTTTCATGAGTCACTCTTTTTTGTCTTGTGACTATACTTGGAAATTATTTATTTATTTATTTATTTATTTATTTTAGACAGAGTCTTGCTCTGTTGCCCAGGCTAGAATGCAATGGCGTGATCTTGGCTCACCACAACTTCCACCTCCCAGGTTCAAGTGATTATCCTGCCACACCCAGCTAATTTTGTATTTTTAGTAGAGACGAGAGTTCACCATGTTGGCCAGGCTGGTCTCAAACTCCTGACATTGTGATCAGCCCACCTCAGCCTCCCAAAGTTCTAGGATTACAGGCGTGAGCCACTGTGTCCGGCCTACCTAGAGCATTATTTAAACCTTAAACCTCTAAACTTTTCATCATTGTGTTTTGATTCCTTAAAGATTAGGAAAGGAATTGTCAGCGGATAAGACTTGCCCTCTTCTGCTGCTCTCAAGCCGTGGACAAGTTCCTTCCATTCACTGTGTGTCATTTTCCTCATCTGTAAACACAGGATAATAGTAACAACACCTCTCTCCTAGGGCCTGGATGGGGCATGCCAGTCAGGGGTCCTGAAGCTTAAGCCCCTGGGATTTGGATAGAGAAAGTCATGGTGAAGGTGGGTGTGACATTGGTGAGGTGGCATTGGACACCCGTCAGGGCCTCTCCTGTCCTCTCCGTCCACTCCAGACAGTGCCCATTTGTGCAGAGGCTTTCCTGGGTCTCTGCCTGAGGGCTTTCTCTGCTCCTCTACCCCAGATGACCCGAAGTGTCCCCATGAGCAGCCTTCAACCAAAGAGGGACAGGAGTCGGTGAACATGCACCTCAGCCTCCTCACCTCTCCAAGGAACTTTTTAAAGAATCTTGTATTGGCTGCATAGCAGAGATGGGGGCATTGCTTGAGCCTATGAGTTCACAACCAGGCCTAGGAACATAGTGAGGCCTCCCCCTTCCCTCAGCCCCCATCCCTACAGAAAATGTTAAGATTAACCAGGCTTGGTGGTGGGAACCCTGAAAATCTGAGAAAGGTCTCAGTTAATTTAGAAAGTTTATTTTTGGCCAGGAGCGGCGGCCCACGCCTGTAATCCAACACTTTGGGAGACCAAGGTGGGTGGATCACTTGAGACCAAGAGTTCGTGACAGCCTCAGGAGGTGTTGATGACACGTGCCCAGGTAGTGGGGGCACAGCTTGGTTTTATTTTTATTTTTACTTTATTTATTATTATTTTTGAGACGGAGCCTTGCTCTGTCGTCCAGGCTGGAGTGTAGTGGCATGATCACAGCTCACGGCAACCTCCGCTTCCCAGGTTCAAGCTATTCTCCTGCCTCAGCCTCCCAGGTAGCTGGGATTACAGGCACACCACACCACACCTGTCTAATTTTTGTATTTTTTAGTAGAGATGGGTTTTCACAACGTTGGTCAGGCTGGTCTCAGACTCCTGACCTCAGGTGATCGCCTGCCTTGGTCTCCCAAAGTGCTGGGATTACAGGCGTGAGCCACCACGCCTGGCCACACAGCTTTTTTGTTTTTTTGAGACGGAGTTTCGCTCTTTCACCCAGGCTGGAATGAAGTGGCATGATCTCAGCTCACTGCAACCTCCGCCCCCTAGGCTCAAGCAATTCTCCTCCCTCAGCCTCCTGAGTAGCTGTGATTACAGGCGCCTGCCACCACGCCCAGCTAATTTTTGTATTTTTAGTACAGACAGGGTTTTGCCACATTGGCCAGGCTGGTCTTGAACTCCTGACCTCAGGTGATCCATCCGCCTCGGTCTCCCAAAGTGCTAGGATTATAGGCGTGAGCCACCATGCCAGCCGACAGCTTGGTTTTACCCGTTTTAGGGAGACATGAGACATCAATCAATGTAAGATGTACACTGGTTCTGTCCGGAAAGGCGGGACAACTCAAGAAGGGAGAGGGTTTCCAGGTCACAGGTAGGTGAGAGACAAAGAGTTGCATTCTTTTGACTTTCTGATTAGCCTTTCCAAAGGAGGCAATCAGATATGCATCTATCTCAGTGAGCAGAGGAATGACTTTCTATTTTTTTTTTTTTTTGAGAGGGAGTCTCACTCTGTCACCCAGACTGGAGTGCAGTGGCGCTATCTCGGCTCACTGCAAGCTCTGCCTCCCAGGTTCATGCCATTTTCCTGCCTCAGCCTCCTGAGTAGCTGGGAGGTGCTCGCCACCGTGCCCAGTTAAGTTTTTGCATTTTTAGTAGAGACAGGGTTTCACCGTGTTAGCCAGGATGGTCTCGATCTCCTGACCTCGTGATCTGCCCGCCTTGGCCTCCCAAAGTGCTAGGATTACAGGCGTGAGCCACTGCGTTTGTCCTAGCAACGCAGGTTTGTCCTAGCAGTTCCCATCTTGACTTTTCCCTTTAGCTTAGTGATTTTAGGGTTCCAAGGTTTATTTTCCTTTCACAGTGGCATATGCCTGTAGTATCAGCTGAGGTGGGAGGGTCCTTTGAGCCTGGGAGGTCAAGGCTGCACTGAGCCGTGATTGCACTACTGCACACTAGCCTGGGTGACAGAGTGATACCCTGTCTCAAAAAACAGAAAATGGCCAGGCATGGTGGCTCACACCTGTAATCTCAGTATTTTAGGAGGCCAAGACAGGCAGATCACCTAGGGTTGGGAGTTCGAGACCAGCCTGGCCAACATGGTAAAACCCTGTCTCTACTAAAAATACCAGAATTAGTCGGGTGTGGTGGCAGGTGCCTATAATCCCAGCTACTCAGGAGGCTGAGGCAGGAGAATCGCTGGAACCTGGGAGGCAGACGTTGCAGTGAGCCAAGATCATACCATTGCACTCCAGCCTGGGTTGCAGAGTGAGACTCTATCTCAACAACAACAACAACAAAAAACAAAAAAACCAAACAAACAAAAAATCTTGTATTGTAAAATCCAGATACAGAAAAATACACAGAGCAAACATGCAGCTTAATGAAATACTCCAAGGCAAATACATCTGTAACCATTGGTGGGACGCTGCGAGGGCTCTCAGGAGTCCTGGGGGATGAGCCCCAGTTGCCTACAGTGGTTACCTGCTCCTTAAGTGACACACGCTTTACTGGCCTGCTTTTTCGGATTTCCTTTTCTCACTCATTTCAGGATCACCTTCCAAATAAGCCATATACCCAAATTCTCATCTCAGGGTCAGTTTTTGGTGAAACTAGAAATCAGGCCGTTTCTAAGGAAGTCTTCTTTAAAGAGGTGGCATTTGAGCTGAGAGCTGATTATTGAGAGGGAGGCGGCTCTGTGAGCTCTGGTCTAGTGTCTATGCAGAGGACACCAAGCAGGCCCTAGGACACAGCAATCCTGAGTGTGTGGAGCAGAAAACAGCCCATGGTGACTGGACCACAGAGAGAGATGGCCTGGGAGAGGCAGGCAGGAGCCAAGTCATACAGTTTACAGCCGTGCATGTGTGTGTTGAGGTTGGGGTGCGGGGGCTGGGTGTGAGTACGTGAGCAATGTGTGAGTCGTGTGGAATGGGAGGCCCCACTGGGCGCTTTCTTTCTCAGCCCCCGCCACCTGACATCCATACTCACACACACCCTCACAGGCAGTTCCGTTTTGAAAACCCGATTTCACGCGACTAGTCTTTTATCCAGTCTTAGGATAAATATCTATTCAGAGAAGGCAATTTAAAAAGCCAAGTCATCTCAACCCGAGCTACACTAGATGCACAGCTGTGTCAGTTACCAGGGGTCCGGCTCAGTGTTGGCTAATAGTGGAAGCACAACTTCCATTGCCAAAGCTTGGAGCCATAAACTCCAGAGATGGAGCAGGCAGATAAGTGTGTGGCGGCGCAGAGCCAGGCCCTCGGAAGTAATGAGCACGTCTGTCACCACCCCTTCTGCAGTGAGTGGCTGTCCCACCGGTCTCTCCAGCTGCCAGGGGAGAATGAATTAGGGTGTTGAGAATTACCCAGACCCAAGGTTGGGGATGGTGTGACTCCATCTAGGCCAATCCTTGTCTTTATTAATCCAGCGTGACCCAGGCCTGCCGTGGAATATTTTGGAATATACTGGAATATTTTGAATATATTGACAGTGCAAGTTAAGAGTTTTGTTGATTAAAAAAAAAATACTCAAGTCAAATTTATAGAAACAGAAAGTAAAGTGTTAGTTGCCAGGGGCTGGGGGAGGGAAAACAGGGAGCTGTTTAATGAGCATGGAGTTTCGGTTTTTCTTTTTTCTTCTTCTTCTTTTATTTTTCTTTTTCTTTCATTTTTAATTTTTTATTTTTTTTGAATTTCAATTTTTCAAGATGAAAAGTTCTGGAGATAGGTTGCATCACAATGTGAATGTATGCAATACTCCTGAACTGGACACTTAAAAATGGTAACAATGGGCTGGGCGCAGTGGCTCATGCCTGTAATCCCAGCACTTTGGGAGGCCAAGGTGGGCAGATTGCCTGAGGTCAGGAGTTCAAGACCAGCCTGGCCAATATGGTGAAACCCCTGTCTCTACTAAAAATACAAAAATTAGCCAGGAGTGGTGGCGGGTGCCTGTAATCCCATCTATTTGGGAAGCTGAGGCAGGAGAATTGCTTGAACCCGGGAGGCAAAGGTTGCAGTGAGCTGAGATTACACCATTGCACTCCAGCCTGGGCGACAGAGTGAGACTCTGTTTCAAAAAAAGAAAAAAAAAATGGTAACAATGGTATATGTTATGTTCTTTGTATTCTATAATTTTTTTTAATTTTTTTTTTTTTTTTTCTTTGAGACAGAGTCATGCTCTGTTGCCTAGGCTGGAGTGCAGTGGCGCAATCTGGGCTCATTGCAAGGGCCGCATCCTGGGTTCAGCTGCTGTCCTGACTCAGCCTCCCAAGTAGCTGGGACTACCGGTGCCCGCCACCACGCCCAGCTAATTTCTTTTTGTATTTTTTAGTAGAGACGGGGTTTCACCGTGTTAGCCAGGATGGTCTCAATCTCCTGACCTCGTGATCCGCCTGTCTTGGCCTCCCAAAATGCTGGGATTACAGGTGTAAGTCACTGTGCCTGGCCTAAATTTCTTAAAAACTAAACTCAGACAATAGTTTGGGCAGCAAGCACCGACTGCCATGGTTTGGAACAATTGTGACCCATGCTCTGACTGCTGACACTGTCCCAAATGACTCACTGCAGTAGCTTGGTGTTCACATTGGCATCAGTAACCAGCATAACTACAACCCCTGCAGTGAGTGACAGTGCTTTTCCCATCTGATTTCCAAGGCATCTCAGGGTTCCCGGAGGGAGGTGAGAAGCGATAGATAAAGGAAAGCAGCCCAGGGAAGGTAATTTGCTTCAGTCACACTGGCAACGCAACCTGATTTTCTTTCCTGTCCCTGGCTCTGAGATGCCTAAGGGGCTACACTCGCAAGTTAGGGT